ACGTGGCAACTCGAACTGCTGCACTTCGGTGCCAAGTTCTATGCTGAATCCAGCCATCAAATCCATCCAGTCAACTCCGTTGTACATCCTTCCGAAATATCATATTCACGGGAACCTATCAAGCGAATGAAATCTTTTGGTAATTGATTAGTTCGATCACTGCAGCTGGCAGATATTCAACTAAGACACATCTGTGTCATGATAATTCATCCTCCAAAGTCAGATAACTCCTTATCTACACTGCAAGAAAGCCATGGGTGACAGGAGCAAGAGAAAAGTCTCTACTTGCCTTATTCTAACTCAGTGTTTAACCTAAAGAGACCAGTTCCATATACATGAAGAATTCCAGTGCTTGTAACATTGTGGTGTATTAACACTAATCACTCCCGCCTGTGTGGAACCTATCGTAGTTTCCAACTAAGCTGATGACTCCCTATGTGCCAGTTTGTTGAATAGCCTGGTTGCTGTCCTAGAACAACATCGTTAACCTCTACCTGTTCCAGGTGACTTATTCATCATTCTGAATGATTATCGCCACTTTGAGATACTAAACATTTCTGATACATACCTCTGAGTTGAAGTCGAGGAACTTAAACAGGTAACACTCATTGCAGTTTGTTTCAATACAACAGATTACCTTGCAAGATTAAAGCCACTCTAGCTATTTTTTAACCGATGTCTGAACTGTATCTAGCTCCTCAGAAGAGCTGTACAATGAAATGGAGACTGATAACAGATCACGAATGCATGCAGAGAAGTGGGAATTCGCACTATTACCTTTGGAATATCCTAGATTAGCATTTAATAAATCTAACAGACATCTGACTATCTCACTGAGTTTCAGCGTCAAACTTTTCACAGAAATGCAGCAGATAAAGTTGCGTCAATTGGCGTAGCATACAGAAGTAGAAAACAGGAAAAAATAATTTTAAAAATTATAATCAGTAGACTGTACACGAGAAAGAATGGTAACATGAAAAAACACTAGGACTTAATTGATATGAGAGATTACAAAGGGTAAATGTTTGTGCACCCCTGAGAACGACTTTGAGCCATATTATCGAAATTCTGCAGCTATTAGTTTCTAGCATCCTAAAGACCCTAACTTGCGCAGTTTGCATCTCCTTACCTGGCTCTAAACAACTGTCGAAGACTCTGTGGACTGATGCCAGAATTTTCCAACCTAATCCTATGTTAGCTGATATTGCTCCTCTAGAAGGAGGATTTCCTGGCATGAGTAGCGTGTGTCCAATTCGTGACCTTATCCGTCTACTCTTCCTCCTTACCCAACACCCTATACCTTACCTTCATATTATACCACCTAACACGACAGATAAACTGAAGCAAATATGGTCAAATACTGTTAACCTCTTCATATTTTCCATATCCGACAGGCATCTAGAAGGACAGAGAGAACTGCTGCACGGTACACAGGTTCTTGGATCTACAGCTGGATGTCGCACTTACGTCAAAGAAGCCGGAACAGCGCTTTTATCTAAGCTGAGATTTATTCAGCAATCAGTTCACCAAGAATAGTGCAACTCTTAAAATAAGTGTAATGGTCAGCGAACTTAACCACTTCACTCCCTACCCTTAAACTAGGAGTCGGTGCAGACCACTCCTAAGCCATCGTCTTACATTTGAATAGGGGGAATCGTAAACCAAACTCAATAAAACTTCTGCCGTGTTCAGATGACTGAATTTTGTCAGCGTCGTCCCCTAGAAGGACAATATCACCTGCATACTTTAAGTCGAGGAGACTTCCCTTGTAACAAGTCAGTTCCCTTGTCACTGAGGTCAACGAGCAATACACCCCTTAGAGCATCTATAAGGAAGATAAATAAAAACGGAGACATCACTAGCTGTTGCCATTTCAGATGACAACTTTCCATAAGCTCTTACACGGCTGCATAAGTACGACTAAAGTACTTTGATCAATACGGCACACTTTCTCCACACTCCCTTCACAACCAGATAGGGCCGCAATACATTCCGGTCAACGGAGTAGAGTTCCACCTTTACGTCTAGATATATAAAAAGTGTTGGCTGCCTGTGTTCCACAATCTGCCAAACAGTGAATATATTGTGGTGAGAGCTGTCTGCTAGCCAAAATTGTAGACAACAATTTACGTCAATGTTACTTCCCGAATCCAGGTCATGAGAAAAACAATAAAAAAGCTTAACTTTGAGGACCTCACCATCCAATCACAGCAGACTTAACGTGTGCAAGTAGGATTCGAAAATGTATGGCCTGACTATCTAAGGAACAGCCACAGAGAGATGACAGAACAACCTTCAACAAGAAAACAACCAAGCAGAAGACGTTGCTTCTCTGCTAACAATAACGAATAGTAATGTACATAAAAATCTACAAATATCTCTTGATTTTCTCAATAAACGATCTGTTGCCTGGCCCTTGTCTTCTGTCGTTACAATATAATCAATACACCCTTGTCCGGGCCTAAAGCCTGACTTGCTTCCATGGGTTTTTTTCTTCCGAGACCCACTTAGTCTAAAGTAGGATTATTGAGTTTAGAATGCTGGATATTATGTTGGTCAAGCTGAACCCTCTATGATTATCACAGGAAGACTTGTCTCCCTTCTTGTAAACCTAGACAGTCAATGGTTTGTGCAAGTCCACCGGGACTATCTCAGATACCCACATATTATTTAAAACTAGTTAACCTGGTCCAAAATCCATATTGTCTGACTCTCAACACCCTCTCTATTCACAACTCTCCCCTTACATCTCATCAGGTAGGACTAGAAGTTATTATAGAAGATTATATGCTGCTCGAAAGGCACTGTTCTGAAATATGATACTAATTAGTTACGCTAGCAGCGCGGGGGACATAAAGGAGATGGCAGTATCCACAGACGTGCCTTTTTGGGATTAATTAACTATTCCACAATATTTCTCTCTTCATTGAATAATGTTTATAGTCCACTAAGTCACTTGCCAGAAATACGACATGAAAAAAGGTCAATTCCTAATGAGATTGTAAGTGCGCACTGCTTGAAAGCTCCAAAGTGGAATAAAACAGTTGTCCAATGCCCCTTATTTTCAATGGTTCTCTAACTGATGTCGGCTAGTGACGACATCTACCTTAAATCACTATGATTCAAGTGTTTTTAATCATAATTTTTATCGAACAGTACAAAATTATTGTCTACTATTAAGATACCGACTGATAGGCAGTACTTTGAAGTAGGATGCACCTGGCCAATTGATCCTTGTTCCTCTACTACTACTCCTACTAGTTGTATCCTTCCTCGAACTTCACTGTTCTCAAATGATATTAGTTAGTGCGCTCGTCCCTCAATTCAGAAAACAAAGTATATAGTTCCATAGTTTTCAAGATGTTAAGAAGCTCGAGAAAGGTTACCTCAAACCTACACCAATATCCTCGGGACAGGATATCTTTTTCAAGGAAAGCAACATCTGCAATGGGAGATTAAAGTCTGATTACTGTTTGAAGAACACAGTTCAGTGGATACCAATCTACAGAAATACTGAGAAATCGGATCTCCCGCTCATTGAAGAAAACCTTCTTTGCAGCTGAATTACGACTGACGTTCTCCACGAGACCAATGATTCGCATGAACGTGAAAGATAAGCTACCGCTGTTGGCCTCATCTGTGTGCATCTACCAATTCACCTGCTTGTGTGGAGCAAGGTATATCGGCCGTACTCAGCGTTCGCCATCTAAACGCGTGAAAGAACATTTACCTTCATGGTTTTATAAAGGAGAAAACCAATGCCCCCGCAGCTCAATCCTTGAACATTTGATCGAATCTGGACACCAAGTCAAACCACAAGTAAACTTCAAAATTATCTACAGAATACAAGACAATCTTGCTAAAAGTGTACGGATCAAACTTCTCCACATCGCAGATGCAATGGCAATTCATCTGCTAGATCCTGAACTCTGCATACAAAAGAAATTCGTTCATTCGTTAAATCTACAATGGACGTAATCTTTCTCAATTGCAGTCTTACTAATTGTATTATTTTGTCTTTTGCATTTTGTTATTTCACATCTTCATTTGTATTATTCTCTACCCCACCCTTTTGTAATCTCTACCCTAATTAACAATGCTGCTAACTCGACCCACGTCCAATTTCTAGTCAACTATATTACGTCATCCAATTAACTCAATCAATTTTATTTTCTATCTAATTAACGTTTGTTTCCAAGTCAAATTATACTTATATTACGTAATTATCTAAACTTTATAAATCTGATGTACACAGACACAAACAAAATTGTATGTAAATGCGATTGTACAGCTCAGTGAATGAATTCGCCGAAAAGAGTCTCTTCGCTGAACGCCTTCTTTTCTTTTATAGGACTGAATGGGGATTTTCAAGTCACTTAAGAATTACAAGGTATCGGTAGAAGCTGTTTAGCATTCATATATATATGACATAAACTGTTCTGTTTAGTGATAACCATCTGTTTTAGGTACTCATTAATGCAATGGCATGATCTCTAGGAATACATTCAGGTTATCACGTAATTCAAATAGTTTCATTCCATCAAAAACAACCAAGTGTTAATATTTTACACATGGTTATGAAGCGAACTTGTCTATCACGCATGAAGTTATATAAGAAAATAAACATTACTTGAAACTGTTAGGAAAGCAATCTTACGAAATTTCAATATGTAAAGAAGCGTAGTACTGTATGAAACAAGTGATCAATTATTAATTGAAAGATTAAACCCCATTTAATGTTTATTATCTTATTCACTCCATGCATAAATTGCCAAAGTTGACGCCTGTTACTGAGACTACTTTTCCCAAAAAAGAAGTAACAAATATGAATCGTTAGATGTTACAAATTCGTTTCGATCGACATTTGAGTATTTTGAAATGATATATTTTGTCAAATAACTCGGCTAACTCTCATAACGTCTAGAGACGTAATACTAATATTAATATTAGTTATTTGAAATTCCCAAATACTTTTTCGTGAAAGCTACCTACGAATAATTCCTTCTACATCACTAGGTGATTCTGTTGCACTCACTGTTCTAATCTCCTCATATAAAAAGATATAGAGCATTAGTAGTTAAAGCATATAGATTGAACGAAAACAATTATATAAGGTAAATACTCCAATTTCATTAGCAGCTTCATAATATACAAGAGTTTACATCACAATCAACTCAGATTACCATTATCACGCCAGTAAAAACGTTAACCAGCCAAGCTAACTGTAAACACAGTTTGCATACAAATCAAATACTTTTTGAATTACATAGTGAACAGGAGTGATTATGTGAAAATTACAATACAGGAAGTACACCATGCATATTATAAGCAATAAAATACATTTAAAAGAAAAATCACCCGTTGTAGTTCGCCTTATAAAAAATGCCAAAAATTTTAAAAATAAAACTGAAATAATCAGCATACACCTTTGTTTGCAAATAAATGTATTTCACAGCCAGTTAGCTAGGGATGTGAACAGAATGTGTATAACATGAAAGTATACACGTTCACACATATAAAAAAAAATTATCACATCTGACCATTACTAACAATATGAGCTAATGTTTTTGTTCGTTGACCGTCCGACTGAACAAATGTTTTGCCAACTTGTTCGATCAAATTATTATTTTCTGTTGAATGATTACCATTCGCGTTTATATCAACATCACGTATCATAAGAGGTGCCGGATCCGTATTGATGACATCGAAAGACTCTTTTACACTATTAGTATTATTATTAACAGGGTAACTTTTAGCTGTCAGGTTTGCATATTGTTCAGCTTGTTCCATTGTAATAGTCAGTTTGGCTAGTGTGGACTTATACCGAAGTACTTCATCAAACATACGACAACGTTTACGCAAAACGCTTAACTCTGAATCACGGTTGAGTAAATCACGTTCTAAACGTTGAAGTTTGACATTTTGCTTGAAGATTAATTCGTTTAAACTATTGATTTCAGCTTCACGCTTAACATGCACCTCCTGAGATGAAAAGTAGTAAATAAGAATAGAAAAACAGCATTTTATGCACTAATCAAATAAATCGTTTACAACATAAAAATGCATCGGTGGTCTAAACATGCCTCTTGACTGAAGTCAAAAGTACTAACCACTAATGTCCAGTTGGTATCCTCCACATTGCTAAGGTGTTGCACCTGTAAGTCGCACAGATCCAACGAACTATGCTTGAACAAAGATTGATTCAAAACCGACCACAGCAGACTTTGCGTAGGTGGATGCAGTTAATAGATAGAGAATTTGACATTCAAGAAACAGTCACAAATAGATGAAAGATTAACTTTACGTGAGAAACAACCAATCGGAAGACTGTGTTTGTTTACTTAAATATCCATAGTAATGTACATGAAAATATATATAAATATGCGTTGATTTCCTTAATAAATGATCTGTTGCCTGACTCTTGCCTTCGGTCGTTATATGCTGACTGGAATGAGTTTTACAGAAAGTCCTAAAGTGGCACAGATGTTCCCTAAATAGCGTTTTCTAACAAAGCATAGCCTATTGCTCAACAAATATGGAGAAAATGGAGGTAGATCGTACATACGCTGAGGAGATCTTCGAATCATATGGCGTGCCATAAGTGGAACTCAAATGGGGCGTCCGAGGGTGACATGGAGATCTTGAGAGGAGGAAATAAGACTATAGGCAATCGTAGGGCCAGTTACTGAGGACCGCAGAAAATAGGACAAGGTGGAGATGTGTCGTTAAAGCCTTATGTTCTACTTGGAACCCAAGGGAACAATAATGATATAGTCAAAGTATGATGTGTGCTTACACTGTGGAATGCAGCCTAAGAGTGAAGTCATACTATCAGCTGAAAGGTGAGTGATGGCAACTATATATTTCCCTAGGATGATCAGTTAGCAACCTATGCTGTTCTCCTGCTCTCGGATTAGACAATGTTTGCTTCAAAAACTGAATATCCAGAATTAATCACACCACTGCGTACGAGCAGATGTAGGTCTTCTGTAAGGAAATTAGATTACCAATAAACACATTGTGACTTGACTAAAACGGTCATCGCCTGAGTTCTGTGATTAAACGGTGGTGCACATGCATTCCCTATTCGTAGTCTCCTCAATCTATTAAATGCTCATGTTTACCTATGTAATTATTCTTTCTCTCATGCATTTTCCTTTTTATTATAGTTCCTCTGGGTTTTTTTCACTACCTTTGTATGCTACGTGGAGTGTAGCAACTTGCACTGCCGCAATGTGCAAAGTTCTACAATGAAAACTCCGCCAGTCAATCCTTTTTCCGCTCCAGATACTCAAAGAAGAAATTAACTCATATTGTTTGGCAAATGAGAAGTACTAGTCGCCAACATTCTTCGATAAGCACAAAAACTCTATATATAAAGTATAGTTATATTTCAATGTTTTACACACAATGATAAGTTTCGTTATTGGTAATATTTCGAGAAAAATTACTGCCCGTGTTAACACCACTGCTGGAATTGTTTTGATTTTTAATTCACACATTTATCATTTGTACCCATATATATAGTTCATTTTTGGTTCACTCATTTTTGTGTATTCAGAATTATAACCCAGGTTGTTGACAGTCCTACTGAGTCACTCTTGTTACATGTATCCGGTGTGACATTAATGAATATAGATTCTGTTATAAGTCTCTCTTTCCATTTGTTCATATTAGATTTCAGAATACAAACATTGTTTCAATCGACATTGCGGTTTTTGTCCCATGCTTTATTTGATCTATTCCACAATGCTCAAACTTTTTACTGACACTAATTAACTCTATGTATGTTCACCTATTTCTTCCGACTTTCCCTTTTTCTAAAATTTAGTATTTCCCACTGCTAATACTATTCCTGAACAATTTCTCCACTCCTTAACTCGTTATTAAATTAAACTGCACAAATATTATTTCCAGTTTTTTAAAACACCATTGCTAATATCATATTGGAGCTTTTAACATCCGAAGTATAAATTCTCTATTATTTCGAAGTATATATCCATTCGTACAATAGATTTCAAAAGCCAAAACTCCGGTGTCTCAGACTCTTGATATTTGGTATCTCCAAAAAAGAATACAATACTTAACTGTAGTGATAGAACTAAGCTCAAAGCTCTCAATAGACAGCCAATTGTGCACTGTCCGGCTAAGTGGGTTTGTAAGAATGGACAAAGAATGTAGTGTTCGTCAATGTTCTTCTGTAGTCGACTGACTATGTAGTTCAGATGTAAACGAGCTGTCAAGTTCGCTACAAAAGGCAAAACGATCAGATATAGTCAAACTAATAGGTGATTTTAATGCTGAAATTGAAAAGCTGAGTCAGTCAAAAAGTATATTGAGGGTATTTATAGTATCTCATGTCCAAGAACTAACAGCAGTAATCTCTTGTCATTTTATTCAGGCAATCAGCTATTCCTGGCTAAAACTGAATTCAAACATAAGAAGACATTGTTTCACCTGGAAACCCTCGAGACCAAGACAGAGACGGACACAGAACACTGAGCTACAATTCGGCAAAAGAGGATGTCGGCCGACGATGATAGAATACTTACGTAAACTACAATCAAGCATTGTTTTATCTGCACTTTCGCCTCGAACTGAATAAACGCAGAAAAAATCCAGCTGTGAAGCCTTTATGCGTCCAGTTTTTTGATTAAAACATCAGCTGAATATACTTATCACGAAGAAGCTTAACATCATACTCATTACGCTATATCAACAGTGACCGGAACTACTAATTTCTGAGGCTTCATTTAAACTAATGGATGCAAGTAAATTAACTCCAGAGGGAATAAAATCTGATTTAATGTAAAAGACTATGAACAAAGACTGATGATGAAGTTAAGAGAAATGGAAAAATCAACAGTATTTAAGAATGGTGGTGACGAGTTGTTATTTATCTAGCATTGCACAGGAATCTAATCGCGTTAAATCGAACTGGTTCAAATTTTCCTGTGTCGACCACAGGGGGTGAGAGTTGATAAGTTAACATCCTGAGTTACGTAATAATGCGAGTGGGGAAAACCAGGTATTTAATTTTCAGACAGAAATGATGTTGCAGTGATCATATAGCTTCACTCACAGCTATGTTCGAGAACAGTATCAGGCACGTAATGTTTCTTGACGTGAAGGCCTAATTCGACCCTGTTCATCGCTTTCTTGTGGCAACGTATGACTATAAAAGAACCATCTAGAACGAGATGACGAGTAGTGTCCAGCTTGTAATCATTTTTATTCGACTCTAAAATGAATCCACGGATGGATGAGACACCAGCTGATTTCGACGTTTTATCAAATGATTTATCACCAGGATGCGGTTTCCTTGACTTAAGGCAAGCAAATGATTTTATTCTTAATGTCGAGGACGACGAAAAGCAGTTCATGTCTATCAAATGTAAGAGTATAATAGCAATTACTTTCTTGATTATTTGTGGCTTATACTAGAAAAAATAGCACTGTGCTAACTGTCAAGAAAAGTTTGACAGGGAATCCTGAAATTCTTAGAAGCTAAACAACGTGCTAGCAGTTCTAGAAACATTCCCTTATACTTGAAGAACTCCTTATTTCTCACAATGTACCTCAAATACCTAGTAAACTATGTAGAACTCCATCATGGGTATATTTATCAGTCACCATAAAAAGTATGTAATTCCACTAAAAGAAGTATTAACTAAGTAACCATACTTCAAATTTGGAACGTTTCTGTTTTAAAAATTTCAGTTTATAAAACTAAAGTCACATCTGCATAAGCAACTTGAAAAATAATTAAGATAACAGTTCATATCGATAAGTTGAAATCGAATACAATACCTGCATAACTGTGTTGAAGTCCTCCTCTTTTCTATTCAGTTCTTGTTCCTTAATTTCCAGTTGTTCTTCTAATTCTTTTATGCGAGTTGTCAAAGCACTGAGATGACGATTGGCCTCCTCAATTTGAGTTTTAGGCTGAGTACCACTGAACCACATCTGAAATAAAAACGTTTCTAATAGCATTAGTTGATGAATATGCATATGTTTCATTATGTGAACATATAGGAATAAGTGAGGAAATTCTTTTACTTAATAACTCATGTGTTTTGTATAAAGCGATGAACACAATACACTCTAAAAAGAATCACAACAAAATACAGATGACTGTATTTGAATTGGTGGGCTATATCACTTAATATCCGAACAATGAGTGGATTGTCAAATACATCACAAATGGACATCGATACCTCCTTGTGTAATTTGAACTAACAAACACAAAATTGTAAAGACTGATTCTGTTATCTGACCATTCTTAGGTTTTTTCCAACCTCTTACTTCCTTACTTAATTCAATTTTAGATTTTCCCGTCCATTGACTGGACCGAAGTGCTCGGTCGAAATGTGCATCCTGGATTTTACTGCTAGTCACCATCCTCCAATTAACTTCTTTTACTTCCGTTAGCGTTTGAGTGCCAAAAGCCTATCACGCTGACCATCAACAGCCTTCACCATTGGTTTTATGCTGCAGTGGATATGACACGAAGCTTCCTAAGGATGGGTATTACTAGCAATCTCATATGCGTGGATATAGTTGTTTCTTTCCCGAATAGAAACCTCGTATTTTCGTCAAATTTGGAGTGTAGCGGCTTCGTTGCTGTCTATTCTCTATCCCTGTCCATGGATTAGCGCCCAATCGAAGTATATGTAGGAGTTCTAGAGGAAATGGCAATCTTCAAACAACCCTCTTTATCGACAGCTTATAGAGACATAATCTATTTGTAACTATCCGTGATTTGAAGTTGGAAGTCTCCAGGTGATGAAATGTCTCTCTGCATGTTTGAAATTGGTGATGACCAAAAACAGACGAACAAAGTTGTAAAAGACGGTCATCGTTGTCAGTTTGTCGGCATGAGGCTAAATATGTGCCATCAATATATTTTTCTGACTGGTACAGCTTCTCTACTTGAGCAATGGGATAACCTAATGAAATGACTTTGAGAGTTTTCATTTTAGCATCAAACTAGACAGCTTTAGATAAAATACATCCTTTGCTTCATTCGAACAGCAGTCAGCCGTCCAAAAGAACCACGTTACTACTGTAGCATTCATATTTGCTAGCAGCAAGACTACGACTTTATCCTGAAATTATGTTAAAACTGTAACTGACAAGTGTTATAGTTTTAAGAAAAGCGGATTTGAAATAATTTAGTTTACAGAGTTTTCTTTAACACTACTCAATAACACTAACGCTTTACTTAATATAACATTTTCTGGAAACACGAAATCTGTATAGATCATAAAAGAGCTATGTAATGTAAGAATACATAAACTGCGATATTCTTGGTAGACTATATGCTGTCTGCTACATTAGCTCGAAACCAGGTAACCACCATCAGAACTTCTTGAAAATGTTATCTGGGTCATTAGTGAATCAGTGCAGGAAGTCGACGGGTCAGCAAGTCAGTTTTCTTAATTGGGTTTTCAAACTATTCCCCATACACTTATTGTCAATCAGAAATACCGCAGCTGTAGACTGAACACTTTTTAGCCATCTGGACTAGTACATAGTTGACTGAACAACTAGCCAGTATTTTAGCCTATTCAAGGGTCTTAAACACAAAACTCCTTAGTTTGTGACCACGAAAATTCGTCCTATGTAAATTCTCAAATACCCTCGCCTGATTTACCAGCGCGTCCTAAACCCAAAAAAGAGGAAAGGTTGGGCTTGGAGCAGGTAGCCCTACCGCGTAAGAAACACCTGAAATCATAGGGAAAAACACGCACATTCACCAATGAAATTAAGGAGACTCCTCAATTCGACGACGGATGACGCCGGCTGATGAAACCCTTCGGCAAATCAGTCAACAATCTTATTCCGATGAAAACAAAAACATAATGAAATGAAATGTCTGCATCGTGTTCCATGATGACCGAAAAGGTTGCTCAGACTTCAAAAGAAATGAGAATATACAGTATAGAAGTACTCAGAATCTATTTTTGGCAAATGGAATGCAAGTATACCCTCCAAATTGTTGACTAAACAGTCAATAATATACTCCAGTCACCCAGATGACAACCATGAACACATGACTATCTTGATATCACAAACAGTATCAAAAGCTCTCACGAAGTGGGAGCCAATCTCCTCCACGATCATCACAGCAAGATTCAACTCAAAAGGAACAGAAGTTACAATTATACAAAGCTATGCTGCTACAAACAACGCAGATCAATAAGAGAAGGAAGACTACAGACAATTACAAACTGTGGTAAACAAGACTCCAGCCTCATGGCGATATCAAAATTCTAATGGGTGACATTAATACCAGCCACAATGGGAGCAAATAATACAGAAAGATAACTCATAGTGGGTGAGAAGGCTCTCAGCCAAAATGAATGAGAACGAAAGTCTTCGGAGACTTCTGCACCTTTATTGAGTTCGTGATTGGAGGCAAAAAGTACAAGTACAAGGATTTCGCCATATGGACACACTAGAACTCAGATAGACCTTTTCTCAACCTTATGAAGGTTGAGGGGCATATTATTGGACACAAATTCGAGACGAGGAGTAAATATAGCTTCAGGCCGTTCTCTAGTGTAGCGAACTTTAAAAATCAAATTGAAAGCCTTCAGAAAAGCCAGAGATAGACTGCGATCCAAGTCCAACGCTTATAAACTGAAGGAAGAATCTACGAAGAATACCTTTATGGCAGTCATCATCGGATACAAAGCAATATGATTGAGAAAACCTGCGTATAAGAACGCTGCAACTGTGTCAAATACATGAAAGGAAACCTCTATAGAGATGACTCACTACGGACACCTGGGGCTGATGGAAGAGAAGATAGTGAAGCAGATCATGGAGCAATACAAAGATGAACAACGGAAGGAAAAGCTGAGGATAATGTTGAGTGCACTGAACAAACGAGTGAGCGCTAGGAAAAACAGACGAAAGTTCTACAACACTAGCAACTGAAGTAGGGCAGCCTATAATGCAGGAGATCTCGAAACTTTCAAATAATGAGGTCCGTATTTAGGAAGATGAAGTCAGTGGTAATGAGGAAAACTTGATTAACAAAAAGGTGAAGGAGAGGAGACGATGAGCACCTAAATGCAGTACCAATAACTCGTCCAGAAATATTGCCAGCAAACAGAACTCCTCGTGAACATCAACCCTCTTCCCAGAACATGTTTTGAGGGCTTTAAATTTACTGTAAGCCGGGGGAGCAGTAGTTCTAGAAGCTTTAAAAATAGATGCAGAGACCTCGGAGGAAATGCTCACTCCACTAATGCAGGTGTGGGAGGACAGATATCAGTTGACTGAACAAAATTTTACCTTATCAAACTGTCAAAATCCATCTCTAGTCTATGCAAGAACAGGCGAAGAACCATGTTACTATCCACTCCAAGTACTGAGTCATCCTGAAAAGAATGAAATACACTTTAGTGGGCAAACTAGCAGGATTCAGGAAAAACAAATTATGAGCGAGCCAAATTGCAACACTATACATAATCAACGAACAGAGCCTAGAATGACAGTCAACTGTGAAGTTGGCAACTACTTCAACAATGAGAAGTGCAATGGGCAAACTTTTACCCACCTAATTCGACATCAGTATGATGATGCCTCATACGAAGTAGTTCACAACAGAAACCTCATCAAAGCCTTTCAGGTGAGAGGTAGAAGAAGGATATCAACTATCACCAATTATCCTCCTGCTTTTAGCACGCTGGATCATGCTGCAGGCCATGGGGGGTGAGAAGACGGACATTTATTGAACTGACAAAAGATCCTCGAAGATCTGGATTTTATGGATGATTTATGCCTCATATCATACAAACTCGGAGATATGCAACTGCGAACCAACAAGTTGGCAACAGATATAGAGAAGACAAGAGTTCATGTGTGTGTGAGGAAAATACTTGAGAAATTTAAAGGAAGTAATCTCTTTCATTTACTACAGCAACATCATTTCAACTGCATGCGGCACAGGTAAGGATATCAAAGACAGGATTGGGAAAGCAAGACGGTACTTCATTACTCTGAGATCAGAGTGAAAATCTACAGCACTAAGCACAAGTAACTAGATCTGAACTCCTAACAGTAATATCAAGTCAGTTCTTCCATATGGTTCAAGTAGTTGACGCGCGTGTCACAAAAAGCATTTCCAACAGACTGACTTTTATCAATATATGCCTTGCCTGGTTTAATACTGAAGACCAAATGTTCGGCCAACTAGGAAAGACGCAACAAGGAACTCTGTAAGGTAGAAAACCAACAAAGGACCTAATGGCAGACAAATACATAAGAGGAAATGGAGACGGACTGTGTATATGCTGAGAAGATATTTAAATGACACCACACGGCAAACCTCTAAGTGGAGCTCTAATGGAAAACCATGAGTTGGGCATCCGAGCGTAACATTGAGATTATGTGGGGATATGCAAAGTTGTGAACAGTTGTGAAGTCAGCTGAGAAGGATGGTAGAGAAGACAGCATGATAAAAATGAACTGTTGAAGGCAAACGTCCTACCCGGAACGTAAGAGATGGGTGAATATAATAATGAAATCCTCAAAAATAAAAATCCTGAGAAACTAACCAGTAAACGTACAGGGTAAATAGATGTTAGTACATAGATAATAAAACAAGTTATCCACCTACACGAATTCGGTTTGTCATTTTCACCCTATCAATTTCGTGTTTGAATAAGGGTGCATGCTAAATGATGTGCAAATGAATTTCTGTATTTAGCCATGGGAACACAAATCCTTGTTTCGTGTCCTTCCTGGAGAAAAACATGACGACAGCTCAGGATGAATACGATTAGCACGTAAAATAATGGTGCCATTCATTTACTTACATTACTCAAATCAACTACTTATTCCGACTGCTAAATATGCTCCGCGAAACCTACTAATAGCTTTCGAAATCCCAACTGACTAACCTAGCGAAGTAGACTTTTTACAGAAGTATACTAATTCAACTTGACACACTGGAGACACGTGGATTTGAGAAGCAAAATTCCATGAAACTACAATGAAGCACATAAATATAGTTAAAAACTAATTCTTCTGTCATAAATTACGACAGAGGGAATTGACGTATAGTACACATTATTTGATAAGTAGTTGGATACCTGAAAATGATGCATTGAAGTGTTGCAAGATAACACGTATTATAGGAGACCTACGTAGGAGTGCTGAAACTTCGTCAGCTACCGGCAAATGGGGGCCGCGTGTGACCGGCCTCAAGCAGTTATCCCCTGGGTTCTGCGGTCACGCAACCAACTTCCACGGTGTGGGCAGCCGGGAAGTAACAATCGCCCTCACAATCCGAAATGCACACGAAACCTCTCTAATCCTTACTCATCTTTGTCTACATCTTCATCTCTATTATCTTGCCTTCCTTCTACTAATACAACTCCTCTACTTGATGGCTCTTCACTCTGTGTGCACTGGAAACGAAAACGGGGGCTGATAACACTCATCAAATAAGTACGATGGTCAGCAAATTTGTCGGCGTCTTCAGGTTATTTAACGCGGAAGTGAGCTCACCTAGTAATGATGCCGTAGTCATCAAGAGTCAACCTAATACACGAAACATCACTAGATCAATAGAAAGAAACCAACAAACAAAAGCCATACTAGCAAATCTAAACAATACCCAGTGAGAAAATATTACTGGGACAACAAAATGATTGTCAAAAGAATCATGTATGGTGCCTTTCCTTCAATTGTGCAATTAATACTGGGTCTGATCCAGTATTTAATTTAGTCCCCAACCAACGACAGATATCTCAGCTGCGTGTTATCAGTTCGCCAGCCCGAAAAACAAACGAGACAATCAATCCATGGGGGACCAAATATGATGATACCACTAGTTATTTTACATACATGCATTCTACCTGCACCAATTACTTAATATGACTCTTTACTACTCAAATGCTACTTTCCAGGTTTTCATAGTCGTTAAAAGATGTACAGCTTTCATACGTTGATAGCAAAAATTAAATTTTCAAAACCACATTTGTCAAATGTATACATGGTTACTCTAGGCTAAATCCATGTGGATTTCCGGTAATAACTCAAATGCAACAATCATTTTTTTCCATTAGAAACCATACTTTAGATATTCAACATAGCAATGAAGCCAAAAATGAGAACTGACTCACATCCAATCCCAGTAAAAAGATGAATAGCTGAAAAAGATGTTGCAAAACTTTTGTACCAGCTTGATTACCGCTGTTCCTATCAGCTGGTCTCGCGGGAAGACCCTAGAGTGTTTGTTGGCAAGACGAGACCGTAAAAAGCGCTCCCATATATTAAAGTGACATTTTGATTGGATGAGTCCTTTGGAGGGCTGTCAGTCCGAACGACCTACACAATGACCTTGAATGAACCAAACTCCAATATCCAATATCGTTTTTACGAGCTAGTATAAACCAATTTGATTTCTTTGTGCTCGCCTCTTGATTGTGAGGTAGAGGTTCCTGATCTTCGGTAAATGTCTGCGTAGCTCGTCCCGCCACTCGACTGCCGTAGCTTTGGTTGACTCCAAAAGGAGTAGTGTAGGGATTAATTATATGTGGTTTGTAGTATGAGGTGTGTTAAGACTGTTACTACTGTGAATGGAGTTGATCCTTTCACCAGTTGGTCCTTCGGTATCGTCGTCAATAGAAAAGATTGTTTGAAAAAGGGAGTGCTTTTCTCACGTATTTTCACGTATTTGACAGATCGCTGTTTTTGTTGTGTTATTCACTTCAAGAACATTTTTAAAAAACTTTAACTTGACTTTTGTTTGTTAAGTTTCGATTTTAACCACTTATATAGTCTATATTGGGCAAACTGTCTTGGCTGTTCCAGTAGTTCATTATGTCAAAAGTACCACATAAATATAATAGGGCGGAGTGTTACTTTTTGGTAGATGATGGAATACAGTGTAATAACTGTAAAAAGTGGTATCATAAGATGTGTACTGGATTACGTCCAGCTGCATACAAACGTTTTAGTGCTCCAACATCCCACTGGATGTGCAGAATGTGTTGCTCCCCAAAGATGACTTTGATAAGTGAGCCTCACAAACTCTTGTATAAGGCCATGGAACTTCCTGATGATAGCGTGGCTAGTAATAGTGACACAGACTGCCCGTCTGAAGATGACGCAGCAAGTGCCATCATGGATGTTACCACACCGGCGGTTACTATCCCAGTTACCCCGGAAGTAAAACCTACTAGGCGTTCGAAGCGTCTTAGTAAGCGAAAAGGTAACAAAACGGAAGCTGTAAACAGCATCTCAGCACCAGAGAACACTGTAAGCGAAGTTCACCATGAAGATGGTGCAGACACTGATCTTGATTGTACCATCAAAAACTGCAGAAGCCCTGAGAAGCAACTGCAGGCAGATGATCAGTGGGTAACGAAAATAAGCAATCGGAAGAAACATAGTAATATTGATGGTAGGCAAACGTCTGTCACCTGTAGCCAGGCTGCATCAATAGTGGTGAGAAAAGATGTAGCCACTGCTAAACACGACAAGCTCTCCTTAGACTCTAACATAATTGTTGGAAATTTGGAAGAGTCCAAAGAATCTGATCCCGTAAAAAGGCACAATCACGACCTTAAATTAGTGAGTAGTATTATAAGGAAGATGCTCCCAGCGAATTTCCCTGGACTATCGATTAAAAAGCTGATTAGAATAGGCAAAAGAGATGATGAATGTTCTGATCAGCGTAGATTGCTTAAAGTAGTCTTAGGTTCTCCTGATGAACGGAATCATCTACTGGCTAATGTACACAACCTTGCCGGGTCAGGAATTTCAGTCAGACCTGATTTATCTCTTGAAGACAGACTTAAACGAAAAGAAGTTTTGTCCCAGCTACAAACAAGCGTAAAAATGGTGAGACTAACCTTAAACTGGTGGGTTTTCAAATAGTCAGGTCTTGGAAACGTATGCTTCCAAGATTAGATGACACACCTGAGCTATGCGGATTTAGTTGCTTGCGCAGAGACAGGGTTAAGGGTCGTAGAGGTGGCGGGGTTGCTCTGTACATCAACAGCTCCCTATATGTTCGTTCCGTGAAATCTGAAGCGCATGACAGTGGGACAAGTGGGGTAATTAGCTGTGAAGTAAGCTTTGCAACTGGCACTTTACTCGTTGGTGTTCTGTATAGAAGTCCCTTTTGTCAGTGTGATGACTTCATTTTAGATCACCTCAGACAATGGAGTAAACACAGTAGCTGTCATATTCTAGGTGACTTTAATGCACCTCATATAGACTGGGTAGCTGACACATCTCCAGGATCCGCTAATAAGTTTGACAGCCGGTTACTCTTGAATACCATGGAAAATGCCCTGACACAACATGTCTTAGGCAGTACAAGATTCGGTTCTAGCCAAGGATCTTCTTGCTGGACTTAGTGCTTACTCATGACAACGACGACGTGGATGGTCTAGCTATTCATCCACCTCTAGCAAACAGTGATCATGGATTGTTCGATTTTAACTTAAGGGCTGGCAGTTTAGCCAGTTTTCAACCCAAATCCCGACTTAGTGTTTGGCATGCTGACATAGTCGCTATAAAGGAGCGTGCTTCAACTGCCGACTGGTCAGTCATTATGGTCTCATCCATTGAAGATGAGTGGGATAGATTTAAGAATACACTTGAGAGGGTTACCACTGATTTATCACGATTTATTCAACATGTAGTAATCACAACATTGATTATATTTCTGGGAAAATTAAAAAGAAACCAAGGGATATAATAGTTGCAGTTGTTTAAGTAAACGTTTCCAAATGTAAATGCTGAAAATGTGCTGAGCACAATTTTTCCTCAACTCATCTTTTATTTTCCTTATTTACAGGACCAGTGGACCTCACTTGACTGCTTTGCAGCGACACTGTACTACAGTTTCTAAATACAAAATTCTCTCAATCATGAAAACTGACTCCTTTCTGCAAACTAAATGAATCGCGCCAACAAAGGACACAGGTGATGATAATTAGTAGCAGTCTTTTCATTCTGAAGTAACGTTAGTCCGTGCTGAATGTGAGCTGGGAGGACTGAAATTAAGCTGAAAAAATTGCCACTATGTGCCAAATAATGCTAGCCAGTGCTTAATATGTCCTGTGAGGGCTGGAACAACGCTGACAAGCAAACGCAGTAAGTTCTGATCTAGTCCTGAAAATGACTAGAAAAAGAACACGGTGCTTAAATGGATACTAACTTCTGTGGCGAGCCTCTTGCAAATTATGATAGGAAGTTCAACAGTAGCGTCCCGGAAGTGCGAACGCTCCAATAACCTTGAATGTACGCTAGTCGTTGGCTAACAGCACCTCTCATTATAAAAGTATCGCTTAGCTAGGACGACAGTTTTATTGTCGTGGATATAAAAATATGAGCACTGGACACATAATAATCTGAGACGCTGACACATAATCATGATAAAAGTCCACAGCGCTCAGTAAATTCAACTATTAGTACACTTGGGCTCTTAGAATTCCACTTACATAGGGATTTTCAGAAATTTGGACAAAGTGCGAAGATTGAGTTTCAAGTAAAGCCGAGATGCATGGCAGGCTAACTAGGAATCGCTCATGAAAAACCTGACGTAAAGTAGTAGCCCAACAAGTTGTCACTGTGTCACGAAAACTGACACTAGCCAAAATTGTAGACAACAATTTACGTCAATGTTACGTCCCGAATCGGGGTCATGAGAAAAACAATAGAAAAGCTGAACTTTGAGGACCTCACCAGCAAATCACAGCAGACTTAACGTGTGCAACTGGGATTCGCAAATATATGACCTGACTATCTACGAAACGGCCACAGAGAGACGACAGAATAACCTCCCACAAGAAAACAACCAAGCAGAAGACGCTGCTTCTCTGCTGACAATAACAAATTATAGTGTACATAAAAATCTATAAATATCTCTTGATTTTCTCAATAAAGATCTGTTGCCTGGACCTTGTCTTCAGTCTCTACAACTGTACTTCACCTGGTGCATTTAGTATATCCAGTTCACAAAACAGAAATCAGTACTCAAGGCTGTACGTCAGTGTAACTCAGAGCTATTTATTTTATGTAAATATGTGCCTCCATAACTTTGACATTTATTCAAACGATTTAATGGTTTGAGAAACGAGTAAATAATTCAACTAAGTTAGGTCTATTAGATCATCGAAAATAGTAACTAGAGGAAATTAGAGTAGTACCCTGTCGGAGATACCCAACCATATCCAGCCCTAGCTTATTTTCTTAAGAATTATAATGTCTGTGGCACTTCGGACACCTCTTGCAGTGAGATATTTCTGAGAGAAACTGAAGAAATATTTTGGATCATGTGGGTGTTGAGAAACATACACTAAACCTAAGTGATTTTATAATTCCTCCACCTTTCTGTGTACACACCTAACAGAATGCTTTGTTTGTTTCCAAAGTCTTCTCCTGAAACGACTAATTCCTCCCATTGAGCATCTCGCACTTACTCTTAGAAAGAACCCTGTTCTTGGGTGGTTTATTGTTCAGTATCACAACATCCAATCGAAGCATAAGTAAATTAAAAAACACAGGATCTGAAAGGAATTCCTCCGACTATGAAAATCCGAATCTTGATTGGGAACAGTCCCATGAGGAGGCAAAGAGAAAGAGATCAAGTACTGATAGTTTTTTATCCTAAAATAACTAAGGATATAGTTTATGTTTATATTCATTTCATTTTATCTTCAACAGCGCCTATTGTAAATTGTGCGTTACTGACATATAAAGTAAGTCATATATGGTATGTTAGACATTTTTTGACAAATCACTTTGCCCTATTGGCTAAACGCAGTTAAAAAAATGCTTCCGGATTTGTCTTGTCGCTAAATACTCAACATCCACCAGGTATGGGTACTTTCTATGTGCCCAAGCTATAAATAATGGTGAAGTAATGGTCAAAACTTCTGAACTGATGCTTACTTTCTATAATGATTGAATTCTAAAATGGCTCAATTTTCCTCAAAAAATAAAAGTGGGTGCTTTTCTTCAGTGTGACTGTCTTTAATTCACTTATCTTTTCATCATCATCAGTATTCCAGAGCCTCCTGGGTTATTCCCCTGCATCACTTAATATCTCTGAGACCCGATTCTACATTGACTGGCGTTATTTCACAGCTTGCATTACTTAAGCCCATGGTGATGTTGTTCAAGTATTACTGGCATTACTTCAGTTCATGTTAGGTTATTTTAAAGCGCACGAAATATTCATTAACTATAAGAGTGCACTATCGACGCCTAGTTAAGAATAAGCTTAGAACCATTGTAAGCTCGGGTGGTTTTCAAACTGACGTTACTCTCAAGTTTTTTAACCTGAATTAAGCATTGATTGGATCATTATTGTAGTCATCTACAGAGACTGCAATCTCCGTAAACATATATTCCTATCACCCTCATATGAAGTTTTTGGCTTATTAACAGCTATTTAATATATTCTTGTGTAACTAAGTGACATACTTTTGGATTATAAGGTTACTAATATTTGAGGCTTTTGGTATGATGCCAGCCTGCTTTTTATTGTGTAGCGAAAAAGTGGAACTTTAACTGATGCAAAAACTGAGTATAACTTTTAGCATTTTTCTTTAAAGCACTTTAGATACTCTTGGCTTTTTCTTACTGCCACTTTTGCGTCGTCAAGAAAACTATGTTTCTAGGTTCTTGTTGCACTGGTGACTTTTAATAAGCTTTTGTTGACCTTTACACAACTATTGGATAAGAATTGATCCGAATGTATTAATGTGTCTAAGATATGTATCTAGTTGGCTGTGGTAAATTGAAGATGTGGCTCATTGACTTGGGCACTTAACCTACACCTACTGGGTTCTGAGTTTGAGCTTCTTTTACTTCAGCTCGACTAAGTAATATCACCAGCCCTCAAACAATAAGCGTGGTTCACAAATTTGTACGTGAAGAATCTGTTCCCGGTAGTTGAGAATAGTTATAACTTCTTCTCCAGCAAACTTTATCTTATTGGTGTACAAACCATCACTGAGTTCGTCACAGAAAGTTTCATTAAGTTTCAATTCATATTTATAAGTAGACTCACAAGAGGTTCTAAGTCTGAATCTTAGTAGGTGCGTACTGGTGGTGAGTCCAAAACTAAGACGAAACAGCTGTCCAGTACTCCCTAATTTTCAGTGGTTTCCTAACTAATATCAATTCCTGGTCAAACTTGAAATATACATACTGTTTGATTTTCGCTATATTCAACTGATTATAGTTTTATGATGAAACTGGCAAATTGGTTATCTTATTCGATGACTGCGGTTAAATACTGTAACTTGTTGTACTAAAACCGCATTTAGCTTCTGTAAAAATGCACTAGGATTATTTCAGTGTGTCAATGCAGATATTCACAAACTCGATTCTGCTTTAGAGAGCTCATCATTTTTAGTGTGAAATTTGGGCAATATGGATTCCTTTTCTGTAGCAGAATTGCGACCTGTTTTATCGCACATAAAAAATCTTAATTATATGTGTTGCCCAAAAGTCTAGTTTAGTTTCGGAGTATTTTCACCAAATCACTTAACCGAGAAGTTCACAATGTAAAGCCATTATTTTGTATGCTTCTTTGCCAAAACGATAATAACTTATCAGTTTGGGATGATGTAAAATCGAATTATGAATCTTGATTTTTTAGTATTTCTGTGTATAAAACTCGGTGTAAATTATGATCGAGACCTAGAATGAAAACACAACTCGCCGGATGGCGATTAGTATTTTTATGCAGTCTTGAGCAATCCACTTCTAGTATATCGTCCTGGTGTGCACTGTGGCCATTGCATGACATGACCTTAGCGCATTCAATGCCGAGTACTAATTGACTCATCACATCTACAGCCAAATTGATTAAGTGATACTTAACAGTTTTTCTGAGATTAGTAAAACAACCAAACTGCTTAATAACTCTACAAGGTAAGTACCGCGTTTATTTGTAACTTATAGAAATATAACTTTATTGTTTGTTCCTTAAGAGTCTTACGTCTCCACTAGCTGAAATAACAGTAATGACACATTGGATGATTGTTGTCATCAGTCACTTTTCACATATTTCCCAGGAGAAATGTTTCTAGAGTTAGTTTTTGTGCACACCAGACCCATTCTGTCATTACAAAGTGATGCGTTGAAAGCACATAGAAGACACTCCATCTACAGATACACGAATACTGTCCACGTATGACTGAAATGCAATGTTAAGCAAACTGGTTCCTAAATCCTGTTCATTTTAATTTAAAATTTAGAAATAACTCGTAGCTGTTAAAGTTACTATAAACGTTCGCTGAAGTTGAATGATTTCCCGTGTGTTTAATTAATCCTTGAATTTTTTTTTTAATACAGCCTCAGTCCTAATTTAGTGCCAAGTATATTGTCAAAAAATTGAAACTTATAATGGAGTCAAATATTTTATCACTTTAACTGTTTAGTTTGTACCAATAGATTTAGTTCTCCTTTAAATGGCTAGCATATCTCAAATGAAACTGTGAATTAAGGAAATATTTTTCAAAATGCATTTCGTTATTTTTGTATCATTACTACCAGCTTTGAATTTCTCAGCCGATTTGCACATAGCATCTTTCGTACTTTGCCTATGTATTCCTTTTAATGGTTTTTACTGTGGATTTTGTTTCAGTTTTGGCTTTTAAGATAGTAGAAAACACTGTTCCATGGAAGCTGTTGCCAACTATGCGTTTACTCCAACAGAACCGGACGAATTAGGATTTGAGAAAGGTAGTACTCTGTATATTATCGGGATGGAAGAGGATCCAAACTGGTACAAGGCAAGACAAGGTAATCAGGAAGGCATGGTGCCTGCAAACTATATTTCACTGTACCCTCACCCATGGTATGTACCTAAATGTAGTCGACGGGAAGCAGAAGCTAGGCTTTTGGAGACTGATCAGCACACCAATCGCGAGGTGCAGCCAGATGGAGCGTTTATCTTGAGGCAAAGCGAAAATGATCCTGGCCAGTTCAGTATATCTGTCAAGTAAGCTAGTAATATTTTTCTTCAGCTAAATAACGTAAAGTGGTAATATGTAACTATAGGGGGACAATTCAACTAAAGTCTTGTTGGGGGATTTTTTCCCAATACTTTTCACGAAATAAGAGCCGCCTAGTTTTCCTTACTGGTAGTTTATTTAGTTTGCCTCATCGTATCATGTTGAAAATTATCATTGCATCATAAAAATAGGTATAGCAAATGTATACAACCACCGTAATACCTTTAAGCAATAATATTTTATCATCCGGACGTATTGTTTTCCCACAATATTTATATTATTTGTCCTAAAATGCAGTCACCATCTGTTACGTAGAGGTTGGTGCAGTATTTAGTCACTTTAAAGCTTACAAAAGATAAAATTACTGGTTTGTAAATAATAGATATACGGGCATTCAAGTGAAATCTCCACTTTTTGTATTTAATATGCTGCCTAAATCAATGACTATTTGCTGTCATTTACTGTTTAAATACAGCATTAAGAAGTATGGTGCGTCGGTGGTATAGCGGTTAGGACGCTCGCCGACCATGCACATGGTCCGGGGTTCGATCCCCGGCCGACGCATTGGATCGTTGCAGCTTTCAGTTTCTTCACTCCCGTCGAAGAAGTCGTGACCTATTAAAAAAATGTTGACATTTGTAGACGTTTTTCACTTTGCAATACCACAGCTTACTGACTACCTTTTCATTCCAGCATTTGTTTAAATTATATCCAAATTCTTCATAATATCTTAAAGCTCTCATAATTAGAACATTCCTGACTTTCCCAACTACCACTGCTACTACTAATACTACTGTAACGACAAAAGCCAAGGTCCAGGCAACAGATCGTTTATTGAGAAAATCAAAAGATATTTATAGATTTTTATGTACACTATAATTTGTTATTGTCAGCAGAGAAGCAGCGTCTTCTGCTTGGTTGTTTTCTTGTGGGAGGTTATTCTGTCGTCTCTCTGTGGCCGTTTCGTAGATAGTCAGGTCATATATTTGCGAATCCCAGTTGCACACGTTAAGTCTGCTGTGATTTGCTGGTGAGGTCCTCAAAGTTCAGCTTTTCTATTGTTTTTCTCATGACCCCGATTCGGGACGTAACATTGACGTAAATTGTTGTCTACAATTTTGGCTAGCAGACAGTTCTCACCACACTACTACTACTGTAATGACAAGAGACAAAAGACTTGGTTGCGCATTTTGATATTTCTATATAGGGGAATGTACACCTTATCTGAAAATCGTCGTCTGCACAAATCTTCCTTGCTGTGCTACTCCTGCCCCTCGTATTGTGTTTCTTTGTCTTCTTCTTGTGTCTCACCATTTTTCGCTGCAACTCTGGTTCATTTGCTCTATTTGACGTCAAGTTTATCACTCCGCGATTTGATATCTTAATGCCGATGAAAGTCTCTGTACATAGTACTGATAAATTTTGTCAGTAGCACACACTGCACTACTACTGTCGCATGATAAAGTTGAAGAATATCTGTTATAGCTCATTATAGTCCTTAACGCTAACTAGAGCGTGTGTTCATAGTGTTAAAGAAGGAAGTACTCTCGTTAAATTTTATGGTTGAAATGTCACCTGCAGATTAGCTAGTATAGCGAACCTTTTGGTTTTCTAAAATCCACTGAAGACTGAATGTCCAGAGAATATCCCTCTAGTTAGCCAGTGACTTAAATTGTGTAATGGGTTTTAGCCTCAACTAAAAACTTTCATGATATCTTGGCACACAACTGGCTGGCTCTTTACTACAGGAAATCCTATTTAGTTGGCCAGGCTACTTTTAACACTTTAACCAATGAAAGGAGAATACTCTACTAACGCTTGTTGGAGGATGTACTTAGGTAAAGGAAATACAGATAAATTATGGAAATGCACCACCGTGTTCGTGTTCCTCATAACCCCGATTGTTTACGACACTATTTTTAGCATCATAGATAAATAAAAGATAGAAGGCAAATTATTGCAAGCTTCACTGGTCTCATGAATTTCTACAGTCTACACTTACTGTCCCACAAGCACCAGTAAAGATTGATATGTTCCGGTGGAAAGAGCATCCTATGCTTTGGAGGATCATGAGTCTGTAGCTTTTCTATGTATTAAGAATCTGGAAAAGAAAACAAACAGAAGCAAAAACTATCAGAACACAACAGTCGTTATTGGCATGTTACAGCTATTTAACGAATACCTTACCAGTCATCGCATGTTAGGGAATCAGTCGTGGGTAATATAAGTACGATAGACCACTTACCATTTTAGTTACTACAATGACAATACTGTTCACTGTTAAGTGGGAGTATTGTGTTGTAAAGCTTATGTAATCCCAGTACAATCCAAATGTGCGGACGATATTTTAGATAGTGATTAACTGAATTTATATATATATATCGATTTGTGTGACATTAGACATAAATCATCCATGTAGTCCAGATGTTTCAGAGTCTTCTTAACGGTCTGTTGCTTGATCCAGTCCACCAAAATCAGGAATATCATTGGTGTTAACAGACAGCCTTGTCTTACTCCTGTCTTCACTTCAAGGACTTCGTTGAGTTTTCCATGGTGAACTATCTGATATGTGACGTTGTTATATAGCTGTTGAATGAGGTTGAGAAAAGTTTAAAGCATTCCACAAGGCTGAAGCAGTTTCTAAATTCACGGTTAACACTGTCAAAGTTGTTTCCAAAGTGGGTGTAGCTAAGGTAGAGATTTGACTGCTATTCTATGCTCTGTTCGATGGTGTTGCGTAGCGTTGCGATTTGATTGGCACTGCTGAATCTAGTTTGTTCCAAACGGAGTTTTACATCCAGAAGATCGTTCAGTCTCTCCAGGATGATAAAAAATAGTATTTTACTTGTTGCGGATTGGAGCATGATTCCGTGCCAGGTTTCGCAAGAGCTTAAGTCACTCTTCCTTAGTAGTTTGACATGGTAGGCTTTCTTCCAGTCATTACATACCATACCTTCCTCTAGAACTTTGCGGAACAGTGGCGTAAAGATATCCACTGAGGTATCTGGACCTATTTTCAGTGCTTCTGGAAGAATTCCATAAAGTCCTGCTGTAACAACAGAAGACAAGGGCCGGGCAACAGATCGTTTATCAAGGAAAATTAACAAATATTTATGGATTTATAAGAAAAAGGCACAAACAGTGAAGAAAATTTTCTTTTCGACGATTCATTTTCATGAGCTGTACAATCGTAATTATAATTAACAAAGAAATCTTTAGACCAATCATATACTGGTAAATTTTGTCCTTGGAAAATTGTATTACATAATGTAAGGTGTAAGAAGGGATGACTAATTGTAAGTTAGAAAGGAGACAGAAGTTGGCATGACGTAATAAGTGTGAGATAATGAATAATCAATAAGCTCGTGAAAATGGACAGGAACTAGTGGAAAGGCTATGAAGTGTTTTTGTGTAAAATATGTATGAAAAGCAATGTTATTAATAAACAGTAATAGAGTGGTGATAAAATGTGGATGGTGGGAACAATAGTGATAATAAAAAAGTATCAATAAAATAAAATAATAATAGTAATAATAGTGAACTTACATAATAAAGGAAAGAAGCAAAATTGTGGTGAGAGCTTTACTCTGGCCATGGTAAGGCAAGAGAATGTATGTATCGCTTTTGGATGCAGAGGTCCGGTTTCAGATCCCGAATAGCTAATGCTTCAGCTATGTACAGATGGCGTATCCGAAGTCCCTTTGTACGATATTGAGGGACTCTGTGTAACACTGTGAAGCATTCATGTGGGGGTGCTTGATGTCCAGAGATGACAGGGTTTTTGAGGACCGAGCTGTTACTATTCTTCTTTTCTCCTCTGGCTAACCAAGCTGGGCAGTGTTCCAGAATACGTTTGTGGACTTGACGTTGCGTACGGCCAATATACTTTGCTCCACACGAGCAAGTAAATTGATAAATACACATTGAGGTGGCCGAAAGCGGTATCTTGTCCTTAGCGTTAAACTGGATTAACTGTCTGCAGGAGAATGTGATATGTAGAGTGGCTGTTGGGAATGTCTTCTTCAGACATTTAGAAAGGCGGTTTCTGAGAATTTCCGTTGCGACATCACCTTTGAATTCTAGGTTCATGAAGAGAGTCTTCTTAGGAACCGTTGCGATGTTTGACACCGGAGGCTTCTCCTTCATGTTTTTGTCAATAAATCTTGGTGGATTTTAATGTACATTATTGTAGATTATTGTTAGTAGAAAGTACAGTCTTTTGATTGGTTGTTTCTCACAGAAAGTTAACCTTGCATCTCTTTGTTGCTGTGTCAGATCATCCATATGCTAACTGTATCCGCCTACGCAAAGCCTTTGTTCTCATTTTCTCACTACCAATATTGGGAACATAAACATTGACGTCAATTACTGTCTACCAACTTTGGCTAGCAGCCAGCTCTCACCACACTGCTACCTTCCCGTCTTTCAGTAACTTTATGACACTCGAAGCTTCCGCTTTTGTTGGGGGATTGATGTTCACTAGTAGTTCTGTGCCTGCCGTTGGTGGTATTTCTGGATAAGTTGCAGGTGGTGGTTAGTTTAACAGTCTGTTGAAGTAATCAAGTCCTATGTTTCTTTTGCTTCTTGTTTCTAGTAATTAATTAGGTTCCTTTCAGTATCCTTCATTGGTTTCATCCGTGTTGAGCCGCTCCCTGATGGGAATCTGGATATCTTGTAAGGTGTTTTAAATTCTCCGTTATCTAGAGCTTATTCTGTCTCAGCCCCCAATGTCAGAGACGTGCCTTTTGTGTCAGCTAGAAGTCTTCATTACTTTATTTAGCAGGTTGTAGTTTGAACTCGACTTCTTTTTATTGAATTCTGTACTGGATTCTGCTTGCAAGCTTTTTCCGTGTTGCTGCATAATGTCTTCGACTTTGCTCTGATGTCTGCAGCGACTGTCTCCTTTGTAGTCTCGTCTTTCATTATCTGGGTATTGAACTTGAATTGTGGTCTATCTTTAACTCCTTTGAAGGCTTTCAACCTAGAA